AAAGGAATTCGACGCGCAAAGATGTTGGTTAAAATAATGGCGGATAAAAGTATGAACATAATTGAAGACAACGAAACGTATTGCAAGGCGGATTTTTCGCAACTTCCTGATCAACAGTTTTACTATGAGAACAAAGATAAATCTGTCGATGATCAATTTAAATTTATTTGACGAGAAAAAATTGCATCCAAGTTCCTTGTGTGGCAAGCAGTTTGTAGCTGTGGTATGTAGTCCTCTTGTTTTGTCACTAAGAAGACCTTGAATGCCAATCTCTACATCAAAGAATGTCTCCAAAAAAGACTCTGGCCATTTACAGTTGCTAAACAAAATCGCGACTCCGACTCCAATAGTAAAACTTCTAGGTATTGCACGTGCATGTACAAAACATTCAATTAACCTTATGTTCATACTAAACCTCAAAGAACGCTTCATAAATTTGTTAAAAAAAATTTTTTTTTAACAAAAAAAGACTTCCAAAAAAAGTGAATTAATGCCATCAATATGGTGAAAAAAAAAAATCTGCGCAATGATAGCATCAACTCGCTATAAAATTTGATCTCTTGCCAAACAGACCATCAAAAGCATTTACGGTTTTAGAGAAATCTTAATTTAAAGTTGACCGGATTTTTCCGTGTCCACCCAATAGTATTAAAATTTATTAAAGGACCTGTAAAGTTTCTTTCTTAGATTGCCAGTTCTGGGAAACCGTAACAGGGCCATTGCTGAGCCTTTATAAAATTGGCTGAGCTGGGTAACCGTAAAAAAAAAAAAAAAAAAAAAACACTACAAAGATTTGTCGAAGCAGAAAAACAGACATTGGGCCGATACTGGCCCCATCAGTGGTAAAATCAAATAATATTGATATAAACTAGAGCTATAGTATTTGCGTTGACAATAAACACGAGATAATCGGTATCGAGTCTCGGTATTTGTCTGGTATTGGTGCCATACCTTACAGTATTGATATTGAGATCATGAGACACTATATAGTTGGTATTGAGTTTTGGTTTATCGTCTGGTATCGGTGCGATACCTTATATTATCGATATTGAGATTACGCTTATATGGTATTGTTATTCAATTGTGTGGTATAGCTTCCGTATTTTAATTTCTCATCTGGTATCGTTACTTTAATCTTGCGTGGTATCGTAATTCTCGCCTGGTATAATCGTTTGTTCTGTGCTCAACATTCAACAACTAAAAAAACTAATCTTCATTCATCATTGCCTCTTACAACATCTTTAATTTGGGATTATTTCAACAAAAAAACAGGAAACCACTACTAACTAAGTAACATTTATATTTTATATATTGTACCTGCTCATCCATTTAGTACCTTGTCTCAATAATACCTTAGTTACTAACTTGTAATTTATTATTTATAATTATATAATCTATATAATAACTATGTAGACAGATAACGCCTTTTTTTTCATCTATTTAATAAAAATGCTTTGTTTATCTTTGAATACTTCTTCACCAAACTAAAGTTATTTACGTCTGGCAACAGAACAGAAACGGCTTCAATATTTAACACTTCTTTTAATTGAACATAATAAAAACTATAAATTATAAAGCTGTTATAGACAGTTTGCGTAAAAAAATAAGCTAAAAAAGCAGGTTTTTACTTTCTCATTTAATTGTAACATAATATAATTAATAACAATAAAATTTACATTTTCCAGTTACTAGTCCCGCATTTTTAGGACAAAAGCAAAAATTATGGGTCTTGTTTGGTAAAAATTTTTCGGAAATTATTTCGCCATTTTTTAGTTGTAAGTGCCTCCAAAATTTATTTTTGCCCCAGGCCCCAAGTGGGTTCTTGGTTGCTTTTTTTTAAAAAAAAAATAATAATTATAATAAAAGAAATAAAAGCTTTTTATTTATTATTCAACTGTTTTTACATTTCCAGGAGAATCTACACTGTGTAAAACTTGTTGAAATAAGCTTGCCACACAGCAATCAAATACTACTGGGAAAAGCATATTCAAACAACATAGGAGGTTATTCATCGAATTTCAAAAGAAAGAATACACACTGATATCAACACTGCATAAGCACTTGACAACACACTCTCATACCCTGAATTAATAAAAAACATATTTAATAAACTGTGTGTTATTTATCAGGCATCAAACATGGTATGTGTTCTAAACAACAGTGTGTCGTTAATGACTAAAGAAAAAAGTTCTGTTACATGCAGTGATCACAAACTCAGCATTGCTTTTCATAGGACAGTCGAGGGTACCCAGGAACTGAAAGATGCTTTTCGTAAAGCCATCACTCACTACTAGACTTAAAATAAGTCGACAGTCTTCAGTGCTTTGTTAAAAGATGCTTATTCTGCGTTAGATGTTCCTTTACAGTAACACAAGATGGAACAGTCATTATGACATTCTACACCCCATGTTTCAACTGATGGTTCCACTCATATACTTAGGTGCTACAGAAGGTGATGTTTGGAAGAAAACCGTACCTACTGATGAACAATTTGTGCTCTTTGAAGTTATTGTACCAGTGCTAAAATCAGTTTAAGAATTATCATTTTTTTTATCGTCTGACTAAGAGGTCAGAATTTACACGTCACTGTGGAAAGTGACAGCATTTATCAACTCATCGAGAATAAAAAAATAATCATCTTACTCAGGAAAACAACAAACTAGTAAAGAAATTCTCGGAAGACTTATTATCAGAACTAAATAAAAGATTCCCAGACAAAGGCCGTAAACTAGCCGCATTTGCACTTGGCCATTACTTCTATCTATTTTTCCGTGGACTTCTTATTAATGTTGATGAAGAAAATATTCAAAAACTAATTGAAAAACATCCCACAACCAAAGAATACTTTGAGAATTTTTCATTATTTGTCTTAAGCACTTTTATAGTAATAATGCTGGTAACGACTTCGATGCTGGTAATACACATAGTTGGGAGGAGAGTGAATATAAAGTTATCTTAGCAAAAAAAGATGAGACCGCTTCACATCAGGTTCACGAAAATCCACCAAAATTAGAAATGGAAAAATACAAAAAAACAAGAAGATCCAAAAATGCAGGTAAAAAATGATACTTTAGCATTTGGAGGGAGCAGCATACAACTGTACTGTCAATACTTTTAGGTGTTCCAAGATCCTTGTTGGCAACTCCAACAACAACTCCGACCTCTGCATCATCTGAAAAAGCATTTTTTGCTCTTGGTGAAAATTTCTGTTATTCAGTGAAAAGACAGATAAACTCGCCTTAAAAATGCAAAACTACTCCGCTTTTAAGAATTATGTCAAAAAATGGCTCATTGAACAAGAAAATGAAATTGATTTTGGACATGAAGCAAACTTATCTTTGCCAATAATAATAGAAGAAAATCTTCAAATACCAACAAAAGAACAACAGCAACAACAAAAAAACAACGAATGGACGGTAGCCAAATTTTTCTAGATGGTTAAAAAAATATTAACTAAACCTCTAAAAAGCAATCTTGCTTGTATTTTGTTGATAAAAAAAAACTCAAAAAAATTCATATTCGTTTGCTTTTTTTTATCGAGACTCTACGACCATTCGATACCATACAGTTCTTTTTATTATCGGTATTGTGTGGTATCAAACCGATACTGATGGTATCAACAAAAGTATATAAGCGATACCACACGATACGAGACCATCCATCTTGGTATCAATTACACGATACCGATTATCTAGTGACTACACTCTTAAGCCGAATGGTTCTTTAAAGAACCTTAAGAGGTTCTTTACGTTGGCGCTGGCGGGGAACCTGTATAGGTTCTTCAAAGAACCCTTTGAAAGGGTTCTTCGGAAGAACCTTAAAGTAAGGTTAAAGTAAGGTTTTAAAGAACCCGCAACAGTACTTCAAAGAACCTTTAAGGGTTCTTTACGTTTGCGCTTGTGGAGCACCCATAGAGGTTCGTCAAAGAATCCTTTAAAAAGGTTTTTCGGATGAATCTTTAAGTAAAGTTTTAAAGTAAAGTTTTTGAATAATCAGTTAAATTTCTTTGAATAAGTTTTTTTTTTTGCGTCGGTACTAAAGATGGAACGATAACCAGTTCTTTAAAAATATTTCATCAATGTAAGATTTATCGCAAGAACTTTACATCCAAAACCATTTAAGGTTCTTGACCTTTTTAGCCATAGAAGCAGAGGCTATATTCTTACTCGTAAAACAATTTAAAAAATTACTTAAAAAAAATTTCTTAATACGCAAGTTTTTTTTGAACTCTTGCTCAAATGAAAATGTAATTAACGATCTTCTTAAACAATCAGTATATATTTCAAAAACAATAAAGTTAGGTTAACAACATGAAGAAAACAATGAAAACACCACTTTAAAAATTAGGTAAAAAAAAAAGCAGATAAAAGGTAAAAAAAAAGCAGATAAAATCTATCATGTTTTTTATATACATAATATATAAAATCCAATCTTAAAAATGTGTCAAATATATTTAAAGCTCACAAATTTCATTTTAATAAAAAATAGATTTAAATATATATAACATTAAATATAGTGATATACATATTAACTTTCATGTTTTCAACCTCCATAATATTTATATAAATAATATATATGTAATGATTTCAAGCAATTTTACCTTGTTCTTGTAAATATTGAGCCAATAATTAACTCATGTAATACCAACTATTAACTTAAACTCAACCAAAACATTATCAAATTACAAATTCGATTTGCATTTAATTTGTACAAAATAAAACAAATACAGATTCAACAGAAATACAGGTTCTACAGAAATAAAGGTTTTACAAAAATACAGGTTCTACAGAATTTTTGCAAAATAAAGGAAGTATTAATATACAAATTTAAATAAAATTTTTTACAGCTTCAATGCATATTTATATATTATTTATTATTTATAACATAAATTTTAAATTTGTTTTCGTTTTTTCTTATTTTCAGAAATGTTTTATTTAAACAAATAATCTTTTAAAAAATTATTATTACGAATTTACTCTATTATAATTGTTATTGTTTAAAGTTTCTTTTTTATTTTTGTTAAAGTACAACAAATTTATATAAAAAATGCAAGAAAAAAAACTATTTAAAACACAAGTTTTTAAGAGTAATATAGGTACAACCATCTTCTAGTATATATGTATCAAGTAGTTGATAGTCAAACACATCCTTTGGTAAGCATATGGACAAGGTTTCATCTTCTTTAACTCTGAATGCATGCAAGTGGGCATTATATTTGTCACAAATAAGCAGCTTACCACAAAATACCCAGCATTGTCGAAATTGAATAATGTGAAGAATTTTAAAAAATAAAGAATTTCTTCTGTGTGTAATAAAGATAAAATGAATGTATCATGCAAATGAAAATGGGTTCCATTGATATTAATAGCATTGCATTTCCAAATTGTTTCTTTTTTATCAAAAACATCATTGACAAAGAAAAACATCAATTTCTCCTGAATACAAGTTGATAAACTATCAAATGTAATTGAACAGAGATTAGAACTTTTATAATTTTCTTTAAAAAAGTCAGAGGATGTCATCTCCCAACACTGTCGTAGTTGATGTCGTTTCGCAAGAGAGTAACCTATGTTTTTGAAATTTCTAATAACAGAAGCCAATTTTTTAAAATATAAGTGTTTTGCTTCAAAACGCATGCACCATAAATATCGCAGTGGTCCATATTCACTGATAAGACGAGCATAATGAAGCATGAAATGAAATTTGGGTGTCAAATTATTGGGAAATAGTTCAATGAAATTTTGCAAAAAGTGCTCTACTAAAAATTGCAGATACGGCAGTACAGTTTTGGTAATTTTTGGAGCAAATATGTAATCTGCTATATTTCGAAGCTGTAAATACAGCAACCAGTGCTTATTGCATTTTGGTATGCGATTGCCAATTAAAAATGGCAGCAAACAAAACATACAAAACTTTTGTGATGCAGAACCAACAAAGTTAATAGAAGTACCAGAACGTGAAACAAATGGTACTGGCTTATTTTTCTTGTCATTTCTACCTATTTCAAAAATATTAAGCTCTACATTAATCTGTTCCAATGTAATCAAGTGCTGCTCTTTAAATTTTATTAGAACTAGACCTATTAATTGTGGTATGATACCTTCTAACACATCATGCATGATGTCTGGTGGAAAAGACTGTATAACACTAAAATATGATAAATCAAGTAAAGGACAGCGTTTTTCAACTCCATACATACTTGAAGAAATGAGACCTTGGCCAGATATAGCGGCTAAATGATAATGGTGCATTTCATTAGTTCGAAGTTTTGCACTGCATTCAGTCAAAACTATATTTTTTTCAGAGTAAGAAGTCATACACTGACGACAAAAACGCCCAGAATTGAAAACGCGACGAAATCCAGCAAGTGCATGAGCAGAAAGATTATCAGCAGATATAGTTGCAACACCTCCAAACAATTGAATTTGTTTACCATTAATCATAACTGAAATACCTTCATTTTGCAATGTCAGCAAATCTTGAATTAATGGTCTTAAAACTTGCTTGTAAGTTTTATATTTCTTGATAAATTTTTCTTTTACAAGAATACATAAGTTTATATTCTGAAGCTGGGAAATATACTGCTCTTCAATGTTGCCCAAGAAGAAATAAAAAGCAGAGAGTTTATGTACTGTGCAATGGGCACCTATAGGATTACATACCTCGAACTCATCACAGTATAAATGGAGTCTTAATGCATACTTATCATCTTTAAAAAGATCATGCTTTTTACAAATGAAACCATCCGAATATGAGCTTAACAAATCTGTGTTAATAGACTCCTCTTTTTCAAGTTTTCGTTGCATTGAATTCCAGATAAACTCATTTTCGACTAATTTTTTCAGCAAAGGTAAAATTGGTATATACTGAAAAGTTTCACTTTTTGATGTTGTTAAATGATTCTGATATAAATTTTCTGTTATACTGTGCAACTTTATTTCAACTGGTAGAATAAGACCTAAATGTGACTTGCTAAATGAAATGATTTTTTTGCTGGTATTAACTTTAGATAAAACTCGATCCAGAAGCAAATCACAATTTAAAAGTTCATTAAAATCACTACTATAGAGAAAGTTGTTGCCAAGTTGCTGCTTTATAAGAGTGCAAAAACAGTGGTTAAAATATGTCAGCAAAGATTGAACTTCATTTGCCACATTAATTTGCACAACAGATGGAATTGAATGCCTTTCAGCTATTGAAACTAGAAACATTGCAAAATGTTGTTGTAAATTGCTAAGTAGATTGTCTAGCGGAGTCATTGAAGTGCTTTCTAAACTAGAATGAAAATATCTTGTAGCTTCTCTATCAGTAATACTATCAAACTCTTCCATTATGTTATCATGAACATGCTCAGCTAAAATTTGGTTATCTAATATTGTTTCACTAATAGTATTTTCAGACTCATTGGCTGATATTTGAGCTGCATTGTAAAAGGTACAATGCTTCTTGCGCATATGATGACGCAAACTTTTTACAGATGGGTATTTAGAAGGACAACCACCAATATTGCAAACTTGAAGAAAACCTGCTGTGTGTTCATGCATAATATACAAATGTTGTAAATACTTTTTGAGCGAATATTTCTGTGCACCACATGTACAACAAGTAAAACATAAGACATTACTTGCAGCCATTTAAAACAATAAACTATTTGCTAAATTAGAAAATATTTATAAAAAGGATTAAAGAAATTATGCACTTTTTACAAGGCTACAGAAAAAAAGAGTAGACTACTGAAGAAAACAAAATTAACTTATAATTATTAATAAACAGTCAAATAAAAATAACAAAGGCTTGTCTAAGCAATAATTTTTTCTGACCGTAAGGGTTATATATGTTTTATATGCGAAAAAATATTGTAAAAATATTATATATATATATATATATATATATATATATATATATATATATATATATATATATATATATATATATATATATATATACATATATATATATACATATATATATATATATTATAAATATATATATATATATATATATATATATATATATATATATATATATATATATATATATATATATATATATTTATTTATAGACACAGACAACACACACACAAGTAAAAAAGCAGCTCAACAATAAATCTTTTATTTTTATTTTTAAAAATATGAGACAAATAAAAAACAATTTACAAAAAAGAAGAAAAAAAACTTCATGTCCAGGTACACCATGATTATTATTTGTCGGCTGTTCTTATTTCTAAAAAAATGGTAATTTATAACTTTATATATATATATATATATATATATATATACATATATATTTATACATATATATACATATAATAAAAATAATTAAATTTATGACCTGATGTAAAGTATTAGCCGTTCTGCATACAGTTACAGGACATTCTTTGTTGGACAACCCAAACACAATATGCTCAAAAAACAATAATGTATTTTTCAATCTTGCAAGGTATTCAATATTAAAAATATAGTAAGAAGCAAAAACACAAGACATTGCTAATGACACATCAACATCGCTACAATGTTTAACTATTTCACACCTATCCAATATAATGCTGCAGTCTCTTGTCGTCAGTTTTTGTTTATTTGCCATTTTAATAGTCGGTGTGAGGCCATCGGCTGGCTATCAAATGTTCTTTAAACAATCTTGGCAATAAAAGAATTGCAGCATTCAAAGTGGCATCTGTAATGATAAAATTTATAAAAAAATTAAAAACAAATAAATAAAAAAACAAAAAGTAAAAGGATATCAAAATACAGTCTATGATGTGTATATATAAAAAATATTGTCAATCAACTAACTTAAGCAATATATATATATATATATATATATATATATATATATATATATATATATATATATATATATATATATATATATATATATATATCAGGGATGCGAAGTCCGGAGTCGGAGTCCGGAGTCGGAGTCCATGGAGTCCCTATTTTAGCCCGGAGTCCGGAGTCTCGGGAGTCCATAAAAATTTTAGGACTCCAGGACTCTTTTTTTTTTTTTTATAGTTATTAATATGCATAAGAAATACCTGATAGTCTTGTCACAAAACACTGTAAAAGAGCATTTGACCGGAAAGCTCATCTCCTTCCTTACTAATTCGAACCAATACTCAGATTGAGTATCGGTTAGAATGTTACGCCTTGTTAAGAGGCGTTACCAAGCTCGCATTTTACGTGCGAAAAGGCCATATGCTTATGCGTTCAGCAGTTTAACGTTAAGAGAAAACTTTCTTCTTTTAGAATATTTAATTTTTATTTTGATATCGTTGATGTGACGTTTATTCAGAAAATATAATGTTGTAAATAAAAGTATTTAACCGCAATTGCGATCTAATAGTTTTTTTTGTTAAAGAAACTGTTTAAAAATTTTTTTTCTGTTAAATTTAATTAAAAAAAATAAAGTGTTTTAACTTTAAAAATTTCATGATATTTAATGTTAAGTTTTATATTAAGTTAATAAACTTTTATTCGCAAATTATTTTCATTTTATATGTAACAATTTTTGTTTATTTATTTATAGTTTTAAAACAATTAATTTTTTTATCCCGTTAAGAAAGTACTTATGATTAACTGTTTATTTAAGTATTTCCTCATCATCAAATTTCGAGACCCAGGGACAATTTTCCTAAAAAGAGAGGAAGTTAACATTCGACACTTAAATATTTTTTATAAGACATTAGTCACTTTTGAAGGATTCATCCTCCTCATTTTATTCACAAAATCGCCACTGGCTAGACCTGCAGATAAAGATATGTTTGAACGCTTAGTTGTTTTATTATTTTTTAATATTTATCAAATTTAGAGATAAATGATATTTTAGTGTTGAAGTTGCTTTTATGCATAAGTTTTTTCGTTATCTTTAATTTTTTAGATTGATCATAGAAAGAAAGTCGATTAGAATAGATTAACTAGGTTATGAGCAGTAGACAAATATTTTACCAAAGTCAAGTTCTTTAAAAAAAAATTGTCGATATATTTTTTGCTTTGTTTAAGCACTGTTTAAAACTGTAAACTATAGTAGGAAACTATACTTATAAATAAATGAAGCTTGTAAATACTATTAGAAAAAAAAATATATCTTTTTATTTCTTTTAATTTCAACCCAAAATGGCATGACTCTGTCTAAGAAAATAAAAAGTCTACTCTGCTAATAAAATAAAAAATTTTATTTTAATAACGCCTAATGAAAAATTGTAATGAAAGCAATATGGTTTAGATACGAAAAGCAATCAAATTTCACTAGCAAATTAATTATACGCAATAAAAAAACAAATTTGTCTGTGAGTTTGCGCTATAAAATCAAGCTAACGATCTAGACAGTTGGCAAAAAACGTACCATCAAGGTCAGAAAGAAGCCAAAAAAAGCTTATAAAAATACCTCAACAAATAAATAAAAATTATTTTGCACAGCAATTTCTTTTACAGAAAAACTACTAACGTCATCGATTCATAACTAGCCATTGTAACAGCTTTTCTAACTATGTTTTCGTGGGTTGTTTTACAAAAAATTAATTTTGCGAAGCATATATAACACAAAGAAAATACATTACATGTTCACAATAACTTGCAATAACAACATTCTTTCTTTAAAATAATATTTGCTATTAACTCGCGTGTATCAATCTTGACCAGTAATGGCCACTAACTATGCATCAGATACGATCTACAGACACTTTCATCGCACAAATAAAATTTTGAATGGATGCAAAGTAGTATGCTTCAAATGTCTTGTACCCGAAAAAAGTAAAAGTAACGAGTTATGTGGTAAAGAAATTACATGTGCCGCAAAAGCTCGCATTAGCAACCTTATACGACACTTATCTAGAAAACATGCGGAGCTCCTCATTACGTTAGAAAAAGAAAAATTAGAAAAAAAAATAGAAGAAAAGAATAAGAAGCAAAAATATACAGCCATCAAAGGCAGCACTTCACAGCAATCCATATTAAAGTGTTTTGTACCACAGCAAATTAGTTTGCATATTACAAAAGATGAGTTTTTAGAAGCCTTAAACCAGCTGGTTTTGGTTGAAGGTCTTTCATTCCAGGTTCAATTTATTTTTTCGTTAGTAATTATTTTTTAATTAAAAAAAAAAAATCTAGACAGTTATATGTTTTTTTGGCATTTTTAAATTAACATTTATCATTCTAAAAACAATATCTATAGGCGTTTGATCGGGAACCTATTCAAAAGCTTTGCGGAAAAGTTTCATCTCATTTTGGATTTAAAATGAATAGAGATAATATGAGAATTCAAATTATCGATCTTGCCAAAAAGCATCGCGAACAAATCAAAAACAAATTATCGAAAATGCTAATTTATTTGAAAGTCGATTCTACATCAAGGCATATGCGTCACTACCTCGGTATAAATGCCCAATACTCGAACAATGATGAAATTGCTGTGATCAATCTTGGCACGATTGATACAAAGGGAAAACAAACGGCGGAATACACAAAAAAAATTATTGAGAAGTGTTTAGATAAGTTTGGAATCAATAAAATTAATATTTTAGGCCTCAGTGTTGACAACGCAGCAGTGAGTAACATATTTTGAAATTCACTATATTTTTTGTTAATAAAAAAAATTTTAAATTATGTGATTAAAGTTATTATTTTCCATAAAATCATTTAAAAATTAAACTATTTTGATAAAATCTTTTGTATACTGTAAGGTTCACTAAACTTTAACTATTGAAATCATATTTAATATCCTTAGGTGAATATAAAGTTGGTGCGCGACTTTGGCATCAGCGCCGTTGAAGATATTGGAGATGACGAAGACGATTTTTCAGTAGAAACTGATGAATTTGACGAAGATGGTTATTCTAAAGCAGACAATGCGGCAGCAGTCTTGGCAAGTGGAGTTGCCAGTAGCATGAGTGTAATACATCTTCAAAGATGTGCTGTCCACACTTTACAGCTAGCCGTAAATGATGCATTGAAAAGGCCCACAATAAAAAATCTAATTAACCATGCCAGAGATGTTGTCAAAGCTGCAAGAAATTCAAAGTGGATTGACTTCTTCAGAGACCAGACTCCACATCTCATTCCAATTTTAGATCAGGCTACCCGTTGGTCTAGCCAGTTCAATATGATTGAGAGGCTAATTAAGGTAAGTTATAACTTATAACTTCTAAGCTTTAATCAAAGTGTATAAGCCAGTTTTCTCACCGGTATAATATAAATCCAATTATTTCAATGGTAATGACATTTATACTACTTAATAATTTTTAAATGTTAGTTTATGTAAATATTTCTTTAATAATCCTCTTTATTTAAGTAGTTAATAACTTTGTACATATATTTAATGAATTCTTCTGTTCTTCTAGATTCGACCAGTAATTCAAAATCTAAATATGCAAAAAGAAGCTCCTAAAGAATTTAATGTGCGACCATGTTTTTGGGGTATGTGGGAGGAATTGAGAGATGTATTGCATATGGCACGCGATCTTACTATTCGTCTTCAACGTGAAAATATCACCGCAGGCGAATTTCTTTTTGATTGGAATTCAATTAAGTGTGAACTTGACGGGAAGGACAGTGACTTAGCCAAAGATTTCCAAAAAGGAATGGATAATAGAGAAAGCGCGCTACGCGAAAATCCGTTGTTTCTTGCAGCAGTTTACGTTGATATTAGGCATGGCTGTATGCTAACAGCGACTGAAGACAAGGTTGTTTTTTTAATAAAATTTTATTTATATATATTTATTTATTTAACTTTAAAAAATACATATTCCAAAAAGTATAAATACTTCTATAGATAACTGCAGCTGATGGACTTTGGAAAATACATTACAAACTTATTCAACTCGCTAATGAAAATAAGAATAATGAACTCAATAAAACCAAAAATGCAGTAGAGCGCAACTCTTTTGCAGTTTATGTGTCAGACTCTAGTTCAGAAAATGAGGAGAATGCTTCACCAGTTGCAAAGCGTCGACCAAATTTATTTAAGTTGTGTGAACAGGAGGTTCAAGAAAATTCTTCAGAAGAACAAATGCAGGTTCAACTAGATGTAATCGAAAAGGAGTTTCGACTAGCTCTAAAAACAATTCCGGAAATCCGTTCAATGTTTAAAGAAAAATCATCCAACTTAGACGAGTTTTTAAAACTTAACCCATTAAAATCAATTGAGCAGTTCCCTGAAGTTGTACGGGACGCCTGCCGTGTTGCTTTGTCGCTACCCATATCCCAAGTCAGTGTCGAGCGTCTGTTTTCAGTCTTAAAGCACATGACACCAGACCATCGTAGTCGATTTACGTCTGATTTAATTGATGATATGCTTTTTTTACAAACAAACGAGTTTTTTATTTAAACGTTTTTTGATGATGTAAATATTATAATATTTTGTCCTTATAACTTTTTAATTTAGCGTGTAATTAATGCAAATAAGCATTTAAATCTTTTTATAATTTTATGATCATGTCGTTTCAAATAATCTGAGAAATTGAGTGCGACAATACAAATCAAATAAAAATCTTTGGAGTTGTATTGTTCTTATAAATTCTTACGATCCAGCAAAAGCGGGACAAATTAACTTTTGGGTTTAAGCAGCCGTGGCTCAGTGGTAGCGCACTTTCCTAAAAAAAATAAGGGATCCGTGGTTCAAACCCACCTTTGGTTTTGCGACATCGGTTAGGAAGTAGGAGTGAATTTCCTTTTAATTGCTTTTCTAAGGTGCGCTGTTATAAGACCGTAAGGACTTCTTAGGGTACATAAAATAAATATATATATAATTCATAAGAGAAAATATTATTGGTACCCTTTCATTTTTCCGGAACTTTCGCGTAAAAGTTTCAAATAATAAAAACCCCATATTTAAATGAAGAAAAAAAAAATTATTACGGAGTCCGGAGTCCGGAGTCGGAGTCCGTGGAGTCCATGATTTTTGAGCTCGGAGTCCGGAGTCCCGGAGTCCCAAAAAATCGATGGGACTTCGCATCCCTGATATATATATATATATATATATATATATATATATATATATATATATATATATATATATATATATACACATATATATACATATATATATATACACATATATAAATATATATATAATATATATATTTATATATTTATATATGTATATATGTATGTATGTATGTAAGTATGTATGTATGTATGTATGTATGTATGTATGTATGTATGTATGTATGTATGTATGTATGTATGTATGTATGTATGTATGTATGTATATAATATACCTTGCTTCATAGTGTCATCAATTTCACATTCGATTTCAGCAGTTATTGCAATTACATATTCATCTTTATAAGCAGACTTAGCAAGGTTAACAACTTTATTTCCTATGGCACCCAGCCATTGGTGGAGTTCTTTATCAAGGTCTTTGCAAAATCTTAATTTCATTTCATTTAGAAACTTTAAAGAAAATGAAAAAGTAACTATAATTTGACACATTAAAAAGATGTATAAATAAAATGCATCATATTTTAAATGTAATTAAACATTTTTGTATTATATTTATACAACTTTATTTTAATTATTATAACTTTTAAGTATAAATAAGTTTTAATAGAAGTACATTTCAACCAAAAGTCATTTTTATATATAAATACACATTAGAGTAATAAAATATTTTAATGCAAAAACTAAAAACCAACCAATCTAGCAATAGAAAGCCAAGGATAGCTAGCTTTTATATCAACTGTGCTAAAGTTTAATTCAAAATTTTTTGCTCTATTTGGTCAACTGCGCTGTTGACGATCAAGGAGCATTTTAATATCTGGACGAAGCTTACTGTATTCAGCTTTCATATCATGGTGATGTTTGGCCACAGTTGTCTCATCTTCACCAACAGGCAGTGTATTTGGCTTAAAAAATTTTAAATATACTATGACAATGAACACTTTTCTGATTAATTAAATTTACTTTATATTGTTTATAACAAACAAGTTGTATTCAAAATAGCAATATAAATATATGTAATTATATAGTAATGTAAATATATGTAATATACAAATATTATTATTACCAAGTCTCTTATTTTTCTGGCACATGATTGATCATCAGCAAAATCCTTTCTTTTGCGCCCTCTACCTTGTTGCCCAAATTTTCTTTTGTGTTCAGCAACAATGTCTAATTGAACTAAAGGGAGTCGCTCTTTCTTGCAATAAAAAAACATCAATAATTATATACTTGGAAATTGACAAATAAGCATGGAAACCACCTAGGTTTCTATGCTTATTTGTCAAATATATAAATATATATATATATATATATATATATATATATATATATATATATATATATATATATCTATATATATATATATATATATATATATATATATATATATATATATATATATAAATTAGAAACACTGTGTAAAATGAAAAAAGATTGTTAAGTGATTTTCTACTAATTTATTTACGCTATTTTGTAGAATACATTTAAAATTATTTACGTGTGTGTGTGTGTGTGTGTATATATATATATATATATATATATATATATATATATATATATATATATATATATATATATATATATATATATAAACATATATATGAACTTAAATTTATATTAAAAAAATAAAAATAAAAAAAACTTACACAGATACCAAATCGGTGTACTGAAGAACTACTTGTAGATGGAAAGTCATTTAAATAAGGATATTTAGAGCAAAGAGCAGCAATAACATCTGAATATTGTGTACTTGAGGGATACCTATAGAAAAACATTAAAGGTTGCTTTTCACAAAACCAAAACAGTTAAACAAAAATCAAATGTAGTTTTTACAAAACTCAAATATTTGCAAAAAACAAGATAAGTTTATAAAATAAAGTTATTTTTACATAGTGTATTTGCTAATATCATCATATAGACATTGCAAAAGGTGGTTTCTACAATTATTTCTTTGATATTGAAGAAAGCAACCATCGTTGGCACCTAGTGCTGCTTTTACTAATGGAGGAAAAATAGGAAGTTGATATCGCACTGGCCATGGTTTTTTTGTTCTGTTTAATGGCTCAACGTTATCGACATCTTCACAATGTGCCAGTGTTTGTGAAACATTTGCAACATGTTCTAAATTACTAATATTTTATTGTTATCATTATTTCGTACAAATCAATATTTACTTCTTGCCTATTTATAAACTAATATATAAGCTAGCAAGAAATGTTTAAATATCAATTACTACTAAAGAAAATTTATCAATTAGAATTTAAAAAAAAATTTAATAAAACATGTATAAATAAGCATGTTAGCATAAATGCTTACTTCAAATTATTGATTGCTCGTGGTGGAGTTAAAAGATTCTTGATAATTTCCAGTAACATGACTTGTCTACGCATTGTCTGGCATAAGCGTGACACCATCGACTCTGTCAACGACACCAAAACATTCCCATCGATTTCTTCCTCTATGATAAAATGTTGCACATTTTTTAATTTTAAAACATTGATTAAAAAAAACAATATTTATCATAGAATTACTATATCCATATATATATATATACATATATATATATATATATATATATATATATATATATATATATATATATATATATATATATTATATATATATATACAAATAGTATTGCGTACTAATCTGACGTCATACTAAAATAGCCTGCTGCTGGGGGCTTCAGTACATACATCGACTGACAAACAGCCTGACTCGCAGTAGAGTGCTGCTACATTGACTGAGGGTTTGGGATAGGGAAGCAATCGCTTCATTCATCATTCTTCGTTTTTTCTTGTTCTTTTTCGAAAAAAACGGTATAGCTTAAGTTAAGCAGAAAAGTGAGCAAATGCTTATCAAAACATGCTTTAGTAAGTGTGTATATATATATATATATATATATATATATATATATATATATATATATATATATATATATATATATATATATATATATATATATATATATATATATATATATATATATATATATATATTGATATAGTAATTTTATGTTAAACATATATTCTATACCATCTGTTTATTATTAATTATTTTTTTAATTAATGTTTAAAAATATAAACCATTATTTAAGTGTATGCCATTTAATGACTATATAGTAATAATAGAATTTATAACTATAAAAATAAATTAAAACTCAAGTCTAACCAATAACTTTTTGTCTAAGTTCTGGGAGTCCTTTTAATTCTAAGTATGCACAAACATCCTCTACATTCCAGTTCATATAATCTGCCATTCAAATTTATCTTTAATAAATGTTAAAAAATGCTATTAATATTATATCTAAATAAATCATTAACAATAATATTGTATAAAGTATATAAACATACAAGGTATGTTTACATATTTTATGCAATATTATTTACAATTATCTACAATTACATGTTTATTTATTATATCAGGGTGGCCAGACAATTTTTGATTTCATTTTCCCTTACTTTTCCTTGACTGAAATGAAATTTTATTTGATTTATCAATATAAATTTAACAAACGTAGCTGTAAAAAGGCAATAAATTTAACTCACAACTTAACCCAAATAATAAAAGTTTTCTTAAAAACCGTTTACTTTACATTATAAAACATTTAAAAAAAAAAAAAAAACATGAATTAAAAAACTAAATTGATTTTTAGTCTCCAATAAGCAAAAAAATGTATATACTTTGTTACTGAATCCATTAATGAATTAATTAAAATTTCTTGACTATTGCATAATTTAATTTGTTCCCTGAATTTTTAACATGGTTTAGAATTTTTCTGACATTTCCAGGTTGCTGGCCACTCTGTATATACATATATGTCACATGTATATAATAAAGAAACATGTAATTGTAATTGTCAATATACAACGGCATGTTTATTTATTTTAAACATGATAAATGTATTCAATAGAATGTATTCATATTATTAATTCTCTAAATATTTGAGTTGTTATTTTTTATTGCTGTTGATGTCAACAGCAGTAAACAACTGAGTTATTTACTACAACAGTATAGATTACTTTTTAATAATGATAATAAAAAGTCAGATACTGAATAATAAAAAGTCCCCAAATAAAATACTATTACTGAGTAAAAAATCCCAAATATTTAAAACTAAAACTAAATTTTTTCATGCATGATATTTTATCGTCAATATTGAGATTTTACCCATCTTGTTAAACTATTAGCTTAACTAGTAGCGCTAAGCATATAAAAAGTTACAAAACCAACGTTTTCTAAACTAGAAACCATCAAGCAGAAAAAAAAAATGGCGCTTCTAAAAGATTTTTAAGAATCTTTATTAAGGTTTTCCAAAAATCGATTTGAAGAACCTCGGGGGTTCTTTGCATTTCTTTGTAAAAAAGCTGCCGGTTCTTGAAAGAACCAAAAAAGAATATTAAGAACCTTAAAGTTCTTTAAAGAACCTTAAGTTTTTTCGAAGAACCTTTAAGTTCTTCAAAGAACCGTCAAAAACCTTTTAGATTTACAGTGTAATATCAGTAATAATATTATATATAACATATTTTGGATCTTTTTAAATATATCTTTCTTATACAAGTAACTTTTTAAGTATATAAGTTTAACTTTTAAACTGCTAATGCTAAGAAGTTTTTACGTAACATTACAGTTGGTATTAGTAAATAGTAGCTTATTAGTTAAACATTTAACTCTTTCGTGAATAGTGACCCGTATGACGGTTCATAAAATATGTTTCTAAATGACGAGTGACCCGCATGGCAGTTCATAAATTTTGTTTTTAAATGACGAGTGACCCGCATGGCAGTTCATAAACAATTTTATATATTTAAAAAGATCTACAGCAATTGGGGAAAACTTTAAGCTTATCTTTGAAATAGGAATAATTTCTTAAGCTAATGCTTCAAATCGTTTGTTAATTGGACTTATAGATCTCTCAAAAATCAATTTTTGATATCAATTACTGATATAAATGAGATCCTTGATATTTTTTTCATTGATAGTGGCATAAATTTTTTTTTGTTTGATCACCACTATAAATGCCTCATTTATTTAATATCCAAATCGATATGTTTATGTATTTCTTGTATTCTTGTTTAACGTTACATAAAGAAACTATATGTTTTTATTAATTTCAATATGATATATTTTGATCACATTACTAAGATAATAAAATTATTTTTTAATATTCTGAAAGTCAATTCTTTAACAAAAAAAACAAGGTCTTATTGTTAAAATTCTGATTAGTAGTTTTTATTTATACTCTTTTAATCGATCATGGTCTAATTCGTTATTTTACGCGTTGTCTTACAGCTGTTGTTAACTCGCAAAAGAGTTAAAGGTAATAGTAACACTACTAGTTTCTGTTTGAGATTGTAGTTGTTTACTAACATATGTTGATATTTTTCTTGTGAAATTGATAAATTTTATTTATTAATTTCATAGCAAAAAATAATATTTTGCTTACGTATGAA